TATGGTACCTGTGCAGCTTGGCCCGTGCGCTAGAGAGTCCTTATGACTGGCTGACTCATAGGGTGTTCTCTCCAGCCTCAGGTATGGCAGCCGCTCAGGAGAGAATTAGGGAGGGGCAAGACCAAGATGGGGGCCTCAGGCCCACCCTCCTCCTTCTTCCCAGGTGGGGCAATTACACCGAGGCAACAACACTCACTTTCATCCCTAGGAGACCTGGAATCCCTCACTATTGCCCTAACAAAACCATAATAATTTTAAGAGCTCAGATAATTGCAATTTGTGGCACCTGTCTCAAGTTTATGACCCTTGAGATATTTCAAAGTTTATGCAGAAACAGTGTGGTGTCAATATCTGCCCCCATGTTCCTTACAATCTTTCCTTCCAGAACAATCAGACACAATTTTTGCTCCTCTCCAGAGAGAAGCTTCAGAGATCTCTCCCCCTCTGTCCCTTAAGGGAGAAGATAAATAGGTGTCATACTTTATGATTCTTCTGGGAATTTGAATTCTCAAGAGAAACTCAAGAATGTTTTTATTCATCTGATTCTAAAATAAGAGCTATACTCTTGGGGGTCATTGAAGAAATTTCAGCAAATCCCTTGAATCTGTCTATATCTGGGGTTTAATCCTATGAAGGCTGGCAGAAGGAATAGGGTTCTATACCCTTTTAGAGGTATGTCGCTCATCTGTGTAGGGTTTATTCTAAGTCAAAGATTTTCCTGAGAGAAAGTCCAGTGCTACCATCGCTTATGTAGACAATTTTCATTTGTGCTGGGAGATGGTTTTCATTACCCACAGGTGAAACAGGACAAGATGACAGCACAAAGTATGACGGCTATCCCAGAGGAAGGACATCTGGGGTAATCTTTTCTCCTGAATCAAAAAGTATATCGCAGGTAGTTGGAATAGACACCAATGTCCCCTTTGCCCCTGCAGGGAACTTTCTCCTGCTGTGCTATGGACAAGGGGTCCCGGGACTCCCTCTCACCGCCACCTCCCCCTGTGTCCTGGTGGTGGTGGTCAGAACTAGAGCCACTGTCTCCATGAGAAGGGATCGGAGAATGACAGGCTTTCTCTCCAGGCATTGTCTGTGAATGAGGCTCTGAAATAGCCAGATTAATGAAAGGACTTCTATATTACCTAGCCTAAATAAAGATACGGTGGCCAGGAAAACCTCTCTCAATGGAAGAAAAAATTCCAGCAACAGTTGCAGCAAATTTTTTTCTTGTTGAAACAGTGTAAGAGGTGAGTTTCTCATATAATATTTCTTTTCAGAACTATCCCAGGTTATCACTTGATCATGACAACTATCAGAGTTGAAATCACTGTATTTTATATAACTATGTTTCCTTTAAAAATAGGATAGAACAAGTCAGCAGCCAACACTTCTATTAAGAGTTGGAGAAACGGAACAAAGCACCTTAGATGAAGAAACGTTCTGGGTTGCAGGCCTGCCTGGGTAGAAAATTGCTCATACTAATCATGGTTAGTTTTCTGAGCTATTGTTGTTTATTTATTGTATTGGGAAGGTGACGTTTTAGGTATTGCCACCAAGATATTTTCTCCTCTATTCCAGTCTGATAGCAGCTTAGAGATTTTAATCTATCTTCATTTTCTTTTTTATGTTGTCTATTTTTTTACAGCAAAATGGAAAGGATAATGAAGATGAGATTTATTAATCCAGAAAAAATAACTACACTAAAATGTCAAGAAACAAATGTTCCTGCTGGGTAGCAATAGATTGAATTATTTTCATTAACATCATGATCCTTTACATTCAGAAATTAAATTTGTTGCAGACGTTGAGTATTATATCCAACTGTGTCTAAGTAAAATTTCATAATATTATCTTATTATCCCCCACATGGCCTGCTATAGGAATATTCTGTAATTGTGGCAAAAATAATTTAATGCACATAGAAAGAGAACCCTTTTCAAATGCAATATATTTATAGAAATTTAGAAATTTATGATTTTGTCTTTTCATTTTACTTAGTCATTTTCCCAAAGAAACATTGTCCATGTGTCTGATTGTTTTTAGGCTTATAGTGTGCAAGAATTCATAATGTTGTCACATGTACCTTCAAGCCTACTTAGGTTATTTTACCTCCATATGAGGTAGCTTCTCCAAAAAGCTACTGCTCTGAAATTGTCTTCTCATAAATATCAATTCAAAGCAGGTATCAGATACTGTGTTTGTTTTTTACAGCTGGTTTAACAAATTACCGCAAGTGTGATTGCTTAGAACAATAGGAATGTACTCTTTCACAGTTCTGGAGTCTGCTAGAAGTCTGAAATCTGGTAGGATCACGTTGCCTCTGGGAACTCCAAGGGAGAATGCATTGCTTGCATCTTCCTATTTCTGCCTGGTGTCAGCATCCTCGGTTTCTGGCCACATTTCTCTCTGTCCCATTGTCATATCACCTTGCCTCCATGTCCCTTCTCCAGTTTGTTTCAAATTTTCTTTTGCTTTATCTCATGAGGATGCTTGTCATAGGAATTAGGGCTTACCAATAAAATTGAAGATTATCTCATCTCATTGAGGATTCTTAAATTAGTCACATCTACAAAGACCCTTTTTCCAAATAAGGTGGTATTCGCAGGTGTTGGGGATTAGGATGAGGACAAATCTTTCTGGGGTCACCATTCAATCCACTATAGACACATTTACATATGGCCATTTTATCTACAGATGAAATATTATAGTCCATATCATTATGCTTATTTGAATTTATCTTTTACACTGT